GCTCTGGGTTCAACGAGCTCCTCGCTTTGTTTACAAACAACTGGAAAACAAAACAACAAACCACTCAATGAGACACCAACAAAGTTTTTTAACGTGCGAACTACATCTATTCTCTGACTCTAAATAGAAAATTTTTTTTGAGGAAAAACAAGAAACGTTTGTGAACCATAAAATTAAATGATTACTTTTGTTGATCTTTAATTATCTGTRATGAACCATGTTCTCTGAAAAAAAAACTTTTTCAAAGATCTGTGGATAAAAAGTTCTACTCATTTAAATGTTAGCTTATAGATTAGCAAGGGATAGCTCTTAGGTTAGCTTTGGTTAGCTTATAGATGGATTAGCAACAGTATATTGTAGGTTAACTAGTGTTACCTTACAGTTTAGTTTGAACGTTAGCTTTTATGTTACCCCTGTTTAGGGTTAGCTTGTAGACTAGCCTATAGATAGATTAGCTTGTAGGTTAGCAAGGGATACTTAGTAGATTAGCTAGGGTTAGCTTTGCAGGTTAGCCAAGATTAGCTTTGCAGGTTAGCTAGGGTTAGCTACAGTTAATTTGCATATTATATAGAGTTAGCTTTGCAGGTTAGCTAGGGTTAATTTGCATATTATCTAAGATTAGCTTTGCAGGTTAGCCAGAGTTACTTTGCAGGTTAGCTAGGGTTAGCTTTGCAGGTTAGCCAGGGTTAGCTTTGCAGGTTAGTTAGGGTTAGCTTTGCAGGTTAGCCAGGGTTAGCGTTGCAGTTTAGCTAGGGTTAGCGTTGCCAGGTTAGTGGTTAGGGTTATTGTAATGGAAGTTTCTATATTGTTTTTAACATTTTAAAGTTTCCATCAGACAGTCTAACACCTATTCCTGTTTTAACTGGAACATACGAGCTATATTTGAACTGTTGCTATGCACAAAAACAAGAYRTATGGGKCAACAGAAGGTCAAGTCAAAAGGCTGAAGGTTTTGGTTTCTCTTTCTACGACACATTTTTGTTCTAGTGTTACGCGTACAGAYGTTTATCAGTTCTTCAGGTCTGTGTATAAAGCTGAGAGTGACAACTTCCTCCAGTGGTGGCTGCAGCAGCAGCTCATGTTCTTCACTGCTTTCTGTTTGACTTGTGCTCAGTTTACTGCAATAAATAACTCAAAAATCATTTCTGTGAAGAAACTTTATTGATTACGTATTTCTGAGTAATTATTTGATAATAATATTTCCACAACATTAGCTTTTAAGTTAGCCAAGATTACTTATCAGTTTAGCTTAGGTTACAAACTGTTAACGTTTTTCTTAGATAGGATTAGCTTATAGGTAGAGGTTAGCAGAAACATTGTGACTTTACCTTCAGCCCTGTTGTGTTCCTCCTCCTCCTCAGGTCCTAACAGTTTGGGTCCATCAGGACTCTCAGTCTCAGGTTCTGTTCCCACCGCGGGCTCCTGGATCTCTGTCTGAAGGTCTGACGGAGCAGACGAGTCTTTGTTTGGAGTCGAGGAGGAATCGACTGAANCAGGTTCTGTTCCCACCGCGGGCTCCTGGATCTCTGTCTGAAGGTCTGACGGAGCAGACGAGTCTTTGTTTGGAGTCGAGGAGGAATCGACTGAAGCAGGAATTGTTGACTCATTCTCTTCTTCTTCTCTCTCGTCTTCAGCGCTCGCTGGTTTCCCTCTGGTGGATTTTCTCACTGTAGAGGACATAAAATCTGTAAATTTCATGTTGTTGAAAATAAACAACAGTTTAAATGTGTTTGTGTTACCAGGAGCCTTTCTAGCTCTCTTCCTCTGTCGACCTCTTGTTCTGGTTGCTGCTGCTGCAATTTCCTCCTCTTTGAGTTTTTCAATTTTTACTGTCATCATGGAGACCAAACTCTCTAAAATAACAAATAAACAAAGTTTCACATCWACAATAAAACCAAAACTACACTACCCATAATCCTCAGCTGACAGATTGAKCAAAACTCCAACYWGTGATGTCGTCATGTTTACGTTTAGCAGCTGTTGATGGTTTCTCTTCCTCTGATTCATTTACATCCACGGTGATCTAAAAACAAACAGATTTTAAAAATTAAATCTTATCCTGCTAAACAGAAATTCACTCAAAAATAAAACCTTTCAGATTTTAAATTTCAACCTCACCTCAGGTTTCAGAGAGTCGTCTGCTTCTTCCATCGTCTCTTCTTGGGTTTCAGCTTCAGTTCTGGACTCAGGTTCTGGTTGGGTCTCAGCTTCAGTTCTGGACTCAGGTTCTGGTTGGTGGTCTGAAGTGATCCCAGGTTCTGAAGGAACCTCCTTGTCTTCAGGAGCAGGTTCTTCAGCAGAGGATAAATCTGTTCAACATGGTTTAATGTTTGGTAAGTAAGACATAAATACTTTGAAGAGAAGTGTTTTTTATGGTGTTTTTTCTGCCTGGACTTCAGAGGAGCAGGACATGCTTTCGCTCTCTCTGCCCCCACCCCGCTTCACTGCTTTTGCTTCTTCGAGCTTTTTTTTTCACCTTCCATCCGAAACTAAAGGAATTAWGGATTTGGTCAACTGGACTATGAATGAAATTGACACTATTTTTTTCTACACTTGGAACGAGGGGAACGTTGCTGTCTGGGTGGAATGGTTGCTGCTGGACTTGTCYGATTCCTGGGGCTGGTATCCGATATGCAAGCACCACTTTCCATCAATATAAGTGGATTATGATAACTGGATTCCTGCTGATTAGCAGAGGAGGGTTACAGATTTATTGAGTGAAGCAACCCTGACAGTGGATCAGGCCTTTGAAGAGCTGTCGGGCACACTTGAAGGATTCTGCCAGGCTGGTAGCACACAGACTCTCAGCTGGGGGAACAGCTGGTGGAAAATTTCGCAAACTGGATGTGATTCTGGTAAGGATCCCAGCTCAGGATCGACCCTTCAGCATGTTTGGATTCATCTGGGTGAGCTTCAGACTGTGAGAGGCGAGGAATTACCCCAAATTTGGCTGATTGGCTTTTTTTTCGCCACCTCAGAGTTGCAGTTAAGACACTTTAAAAAGCAGCAGGAATTCCAAGGCTGCTTTGTTCCAAAATAATTGATTTATCTATCTGGCTCCCAGCGGCACAGCCTTGATGGCAGTATTTATCTAAACCTCCCCAGGACGAAATGTCAACAAAGAGCTGGATTTGCTCCCACCCCCTCGCCCGTGTTGGACTCGGCCCTGAACCCAAAATGGCTGAGGAGGAGGAAACTCTGAACTCTAGTGAACTGAGTAGAGATAATAACATCATGTGACTCTGGACTCTGGATGGGCCCAGGGTTGGGCCTAGCATGGACCCCCCTCCCTCAACGTCACCTACTCCTCTGAACCCGCCCCATTTTACCTCCCCTTTATGTGTTATCTGACCTAAGCCCCCTGCCCAAGTTGACTTGCTCTTGCTCTATGCAGAGTAGTTTTTTTGAGCACATGTTTGTGTGTTTCTGTATAAAACACAGGATCAAAGCTCTTTTTTTAACTCACCCTTCCTATGTGTGTGTAYTCTAAACTGCAAAGGTAACGCACTACGTTGCGAAAGACCCTGGACATTCGATCCCCCATGTTTGTCGTGTGTGTGTTTCTCCGGACGGATGTTCTAAACTGCAAATTTTGTTCTGCACTGCATCTTGATGTTGTGTGAATGACAATAAAGATTCTGACTCTGACTCTATTACATAGTTTGTCGATGATGAAGTTGTTTTCATTAAATTTTTGTAAACAAGAGAAAAAAAACCCCATTTTTTTCTCACCGATGGAAGGTTTGGAGTCAGTGAGACTGAATTCAGCTGCCACTTCAGGAACCTGAGAGGAAGTCTCTTCAGGCTCTTCGAGCTTCATCCTTTGTTCATTCAGCTGTTCTTCCTCCTCCTCAGGTCCTAACAGTTTGGGTCCATCAGGACCCTCAATCTCAGGTTCTGTTCCCACCGTGGGCTCCTGGATCTCTGTCTGAAGGTCTGACGGAGAAGACGAGTCTTTGTTTGGAGTCGAGGAGGAATCGACTGAAGCAGGAAGTGTTGACTCGTTCTCTTCTTCTTCTCTCTCAGCACTCGCTGGTTTCCCTCTGGTGGATTTTCTCACTGTGGAAGAAGAGAAAATCTGTTAATTTCAAGTGTTTTAATGTTTAATGTAGTTTAAATGTGTTCATGTTACCAGGAGCCTTTCTAGCTCTCTTCCTCTGTCGGCCTCTTGTTCTGGTTGTTGGTTCGTTTTCCTCCTCTTCGTTTTTCTCAACCTTTTCTGTTATCTTTGAGACCAAACTCTCCTCTAAAATAATGAACAAAGTTTCACTTCAACAATAAAACCATTTGTTTCCAGAGGAAATGATCTGAAGCAAGAAGTCCTGGTGTTTTGTTCCATCCTGATTTCTACAATCTCTCACTAAAAACTACACTACCCATAATCCTCAGCTGACATATTGATCAAAACTCCAACCTGTGATGTCGTCATGTTTACGTTTAGCAGCTGTTGATGGTTTCTCTTCCTCCGCTTCATTCATGTCCACAGTGATCTAAAAACAAAAACCACCCAGTGAGACACCAACAAAGTTTTTAATGTGTGAACTACATTTTCACTCTGACTCTAAGTAAAACTTGTATTTTTTGAGGAAAAACAAGAAAAAAAAAGATTACTGCTGTTGATCTTTAAGTATCTGTGATGAACTATGTTCTCTAAAAAAATAAAAAATACTTTTCCAAAGATCTGTGGATTAAAAGTTCTACTAAACTAGGTTAGCTTGTAGATTAGCAAGAAATAGCTCTTAGGTTAGCAATGGTTAGTGAGTTTATAGATTAGCAAGAGTACATTGTAGTTATCTACTGTTACCTTACAGGTTAGCTTGTACTTTAGCAATGATTAGCTTTTATGTTACCCCTGTTTAGTGTTRGCTWGTAGGCTAGCCTATAGATAGATTAGCGTGTAGGTTAGAAAGGGTTACTTAGCATATTAGTAAGGGTTACTTAGCATATTAGTAAGGGTTACTTAGCAT